ATACATGAAATGGAGGCAAGCCACACACCAATTCAGTTTGATGTGGATTCTGTTCTATGGTGTTAGTCATGAGGGACTGAGGCCTTTCTTACATTGTAGAATCAGAGATGGTTAAACAGAGCCTGCTGTTTAGAATAAGAAACTATAGAAAAGGAAGACATACTTTTGCAATCAAAGATCAGGGGATTTGGTTGAAATTTTATTGTTAAGTTTAGTAAGGTGAAAGTGAGAGACAAGTTTCTATTTTTGGTGTATGAGAAAAATATATATGACCCAGTCCACTGTGTCAGAAATGGAAGTCTGGTGGCCTTTTTGAGTGCAGTTTTGGAGTTTTATTGCTGAAGTTCCCAAAGGCAACAGAGATATGGCAAAGAATTTATTTGTTTGATTGTTTTGTAATGTTGATTTTTTAAAAAATTAAGTAAAGCATTTATTCTTAGTAAAAGATGAACAATTTAGAAAAGCATAATAAGGAAAAGCATAATGAAGAAAGAAATACTACCATGGTATTAGATAAATTCCTACTTTGACTATTTTATAAAATCAAGATAGTGTTTTCAGATGAAAGATTACATGATTATATAATTTATAATTTTCGCAGCTATGACATATTAAATAGAATTTATCAGCATTCATATTGTGATTATGATTTAAATTTGTGATGCTTTTAATTATTAATGCTTTTTACATAATTTCCATTGTATAGAATAGTTAGGACAGATGTTATAAGACTTTTCCCTGAATATTTAGGAGGTAAACTGCACTCCAGCCTGGGTGACAGAGTGAGAGTCTATCTCAAAAAGAAAGTATATTAAATTTTGTCTAGTAATTTAATGTATGAGAAAATGGATATACTGAAGCAAAAAGTAAGCAATATTAGCACAAAATACTACAGGCATTTCAGAGAGGATATCCCATAAACAAAATCATTTATGTATTAATTTTAGAAAATAGAACAGTTAAACATACTTTACTTTTGCTATAACAAGTCTTTACTTAAGGATCATGATGTTTTATTAAAATTCCTTCTGTGCCTGCAGCTCATTAATAGAACTGTTCTTTCATTCCTCTAGCATGCCAAGCATATAGATTTTAAAAGGATTCATAGTGAGAAAACATTTTACATGGAAAGACTGAGGCTGCAAAGTAGAAACTCAATAGAAATTGAAATTTTAAAATATGGTCCTGCTTATCTGTTTTTTTTTTTTTTTTAAGCTTCTATTTTGTAGCTGTGACCAATTTGGTCTCATTTTAAATATATTTCTTGGAAAAATTTAACAAATCTTAGTCAATTATTTCACGAAGGAACACATATTCCTTTTCCATCAGTCTGGCTCAGATTTTGCTGGTTAGAATGAATGAACACTGGGTCTTGAGTAGTGCAAGAGGTTGTTCTCCAGATGCAGAGCTGAGTATCTGTCTGGGGAGCTGGCAATGCTGATCAGCTCAATCTGATCACCCTCCTTTTCTGATGCTCTGTTTGGGTGGCCCAGGGATATGGCAAGATACTATTAGTGTGCCCAGATGGCTGGGTAGATTCCTCTGTCATCAGTCCCTCCCCTCTGCTCTGAGAAAAGTGCTCCCTCTACCTGCCTTGACTCTGGCCCAGCAAGTAGAGCATCCTCTTTCTTCCTTGATGGTCCTGAAGCCACACTCGGCTCCTCTGCTCTTTGCAATAATATTTTCAATAATATGTTAACTAGGGCTAACTTCTATGACAAAGTATATGTCAATTTCCTGCTTGTAATCTACATGCCTTTTATGTGTACTCTCTATCTCATGGACTGAAAGAAAAAGCACGAGGATCAACGGGAAAAGTTTGACCAGGTATGAAGGATAAGAAAGGGAGAGTTCCTTGTGAGAATGGAAGGAGAGAGAAAAGTGGAGTGGCTGGCTCTGGTCAGAGAATCTCCTTTTCCCACTTGCAAGGCATTTGTTTTCCTACCCAGTTTGCTAAAGCAGATTGAGTTTTTGTGTTCCTTGCTGTATAGAGTGTTGTTCATTGCTGATTTAAAGCTGATATTCTTTAGACTTCGTTCCACGTGTGTGTGTGCCAGAAGCTAAGACTGTTCACCATTTCTCCTTTTCCAGAATAGGCCAATCCTGATCAGAAAGGAGAGAAATAAAGGGGCCCTTACTGACAGTGGTATAATACAGCTGTGGGGTAGTTTTGGGGGAATATCTTCCTTTCTCCTATGCTCTGCTCAATCAAAGTTGGAGGATGTGATTCTCAATTCCAGATAAAAATTTAAAATTAATAAAGGGAGATCATTTCAAGGTGAGAGTCACCAAAAAGAAAAGGAACAAATATTTATCATTTTTTGTAGGCTCAAACCAAAAAGTACATTACAAGGACAGGAAACTATGTATCTTTGTCTCTGTTCATCTTTCATGACTTAAATACCAGTAATTGTTCTTTTTTTTCAAAAGTCCAATTTATACCGGACAAACGTAAGATGTGCTTAAGTTTATGATATGCTAGATTAAGCAAGAGATTAGCAAGGGGATGTTGTTTGTGGGGACAGAGAGTACTTTGAGGTAAGAGGAAGGAATTTGAACTAGGTGCTTAATTAATGCAGTCTCCTTTGGAAATCAACTAATATTTAAACAACTTGCATAACCATGAGTGCAAAAGCACAATAAAAGACTGGCCAGTATAAGAAAGAAGGTGATTATATTTTTCTGAGGCAGCAAGGCATTGTGGCTGAGAACGTGGATGCAGGATCTCTGTTTATGGGATTTGAATTGCGGCTTTCCCATTTACTGGCTGTGAGATTGTGGGCAAATTACTGAACCTCTCTGTGCTTCAGTTTCAATGGGAACAATGATGATGATAGTGCACATCTAGTAGACTGCTGAGGATTAGAACATTGTATATGGAAAATGCTTATACCATAGAAATCATCATAAAACAATTCTTATTGAACATAAAGCTTTAACCAAAAGAGGTTAGGTTTCTAATGGAGTAATTTTATCTGTAGGACCTTGTTTACTAAAGGCAGAAAGTATGGAGAGTAAAGCTGAGGTATAAATTAAGGGTCAGTGTTAATTGTCTTTATATTGTTAATTGTGCTCCACTTCCTAAGAGTGGTTTGACTATGCTGTCATTTGTCCTCATCAACCCATGGAACACTGTAATTAGGTAAGCTTGTCAGAAGAGACAACACGGGCATTTGCCTACTAACTGAAAAGTCTAAGAAAGCTAAACTTGATTTATACATCATTAATGATTATATTTTTTCAAAAAATTTGAGTCTAGAAATTAAATATATTTAAGCTGGGCATGGCATGGTGGCTCACACCTGTAGTCCTAACACTTTGGGAGGCCAAGGCATGTAGATCTCTTGAGCCTAGGAGTTTGAGATCAGCTTTTCCAACACAGTGAACCCCATCTCTACAAAACAATACAAAATGTAGCTGGGTGTGTTTCTGCACACCTGTAGTCCCAGCTACTCTAGAGGCTGAAGGGGGAGGATCACTATCCTAGGGGGTTGAGGCTACAGTGATCCAAGCCCTGATCACACCACTGCACTCCAGCCGGAGTGACAGAGCCAGAGTTTTCCTCAGAAAAGGAAAAAGAAATTAAATATATTTAGAAATTAGGCATTTAAGTCCTAATCACCTGTCTGTCAAAGACTTTTTGAGAACCACGTTGACAGCTACTCTGAATAGTCTCCATACACATAACCCTAAACTGTCTAGTATTTATTAAGGCTCTTAAAATATAGGTCAAATAATTTTTACAAATCATTTTTAAGGTGATATAAGAACAGGAGCACACAGCGCAATCCACCCAATATATGATTACCCAGTGTGAAAATGTACATCATTGCCATTTAGATAGTTCAGTGATCTACTGGTTTTAGAAATGCTGTTAATATGTATATGGCTAAATCTGTATTTAGTATTCTGCAGATGAACTCAAAGTACACTTTGCCCTTAAGGGGGAAGATGACAATCAGAGTACAAAGGGAATATGGCATAAGAAGACTGCCTGTTTGATTTTTGAAGGCCACGCTGTCCCAAAAGAAGATTAGGCTGCTTTTGACTGTCTTTTGTTTACAGAATCAGGAATAAGATTACAAATTACCAAATAAACTCCCTGAAGAGTACTGAAAGCTTTGAGTTTGCAATTGCTTCCTGTGTCAGTCAGGGGCCTGTGGAGAGGTGTGATGCCATTTTTAATGCATGCTCTAATAGATCTTTTTCATGATTCTAAATCATCTCATATTATCAGTCAAGCTGACTTATTCTCTCCATCTTCAAAGAGAAAATTCAAACTATATCCTTCCCTGAAATTTTCACTCATTATCTTCTATGAATGACTTTTAATGCACCTTTAGTATCAGTAACTTTCAGAATATCAGATGTTAGTTATATTCAATGCGTGAGTTTTTATTCACTATTAAATCAATAAATATACTGTTTGATCCGCCTTCCCCCGCCATGGGATGTTAAAAATGAACATTTTAGTGAGTTTAACTCTATGTTTCTCTGGAATTAAACTGAAATTATTTTATATTGAGAATGTTTTCTGTCTTGTTTTTATTGAAGAGGAAACATGAAAAGAAGGCACATTCAGCTTCAAGGTGAATGAATGGTGCTCAGTGTTGACACTGAACAAAGATGAGGAAAGACATCATCGTTTGCCTACTTTCTTTGCTCCTAGTTAAAACCTAAAATGGGGGGTCCAAAGTGGCTCCCGCCGGAGGTCATGGCACTCGCGAAGGCGAGGTCATCAGTTCAAGGCTAACCTGAGCAACCTCATAAAGCTCAAACTGATTGGCAAAAAAAAAAAAAAAAACAAACCTAAAATGGAATTAAAGCTCTGCTTTGTGGTACATGCAGAATTCTAGATAATGTTGATTGCTAATGTGGATGTCCTATCTGTGTCACCAGTGCACTCTATGACATCTCCTTGACACTATGACACTCTAGGACATCTCCTTAAGAATGGGCGTGGTGCTGAGAATGCTGATGGATGCCTGCTTATATTATAACAACACTGTTCACTCCCTGAACAGTAACTGCCTATTAAACAGAATCCATGCATACACCCTATGATGAAAATGTTTGAGCCTAGATGTGCTACAGAGAGGGAGATCTAAAGTCTTTTGGAAGCTGATGAACGTAAGATAGTAAGATTGAAGGGGGAATCTAATAATGAGATTTACCTATCGATCCTCCAATCCAGTGATTTGGATTCTGTGCTATTTCAGTCAAACATAAACTCAATCTAATTGTAAATTTCTGGACAAAACAATTTCTTATTGGGCAATGCCATTTTGGTTATAATTTAAACAGATACTAATTTTATCAGAAATTTGTCTACTGTGGGAGTACAAACTAAAGCTCTACCATTAGTTATATATATAAAAAAAAAGCTTCCACACATTAAATGTCTGTAAATATGCATCCTTTTAAATAGTTGTTTGTTCTTTATGTTAATTATAACTTAGACTCCATTTTATGTGCATTTCTGTTTCCAGACATGTAATACCCAAAGTAGTTCTTGTCAGAAGATACATGAGCAAGCAAGGATTTTAGTTTATCTTGTTCTTTGAATTTTTGAGAAATACATAGAGTCATTTAATTAATTCTTTCAACATTTTATTTCATATGGAGCAACCTGGTAACCTTGAGCAGCAATTAGCTATTTCTTTATTATCTCTCCTCATTTCTGGGGTCTTAAATATCTGTCTTGACTACAAATTGATGTCACATTTTTGTCATGACTGCTTACTCAACTCCTTCAGGTTTCATGTTGAATCGTGGTCATCTATTATATGCTACCTGATTATCTATTGGCTTTTCTGGGAGCTGCTGAAAATGGTATACAAATGGTTTGAAAATGGTTTCAAACATAATTTTATAAGCATAAACGGAGCTAATGCACTATTTCTCAGTATGGGATTTTACTTAGTCCACTTGACTACTTGTAAAGAATGTGTCTGGACAGTGACTCAAAGAACCTTTTTAAAAGAGCATATGAATCATACTCAATGATTTATTCACATATCTATTTTAAAAATTCCATTGGTCATGCTAAAAAAGGTTGCAAGCCCTTTGACTTAAGTATTTCTATAATGGCTGTTAAAATCAATTCTGGCATTAAAGTCTCTAAGAATGAACAATGCATTGAGTGGAAAATTGATTACATGGTCAAAGAACAGTCCTTTGTGGCCTCGTTTGCTTTTTCGATTAGCACAGCTGTCATAGCTGTTGTAGGTGGTCCTCAAAACTTATAGGAAAAAAAAAAATCTGTCCTTGACACTGAATGTTTGTCTATGGATTTCTGGGAAAGAAATATGTTTTTGCTTGCTTATTAGTACCTACTGATGTAGGTACCAATGTCAAGTTGAGTTTTGCAAAGATAAAGGGAAGGTACAGCGACTCCTGTGTGAAGAAAAATGAGCTGAGTGATACAGAAAACACTTCTAGGATTATTATCTTAGTTTATGAGAAATACATTCTTTTGTAAGGCAAGCTGTTCTGATTGTAACTATAGTCATGCCTGTATGACTTTTTTTTGATAAAAAATCAGTTGATATATGGATTTGTGAAAGACTGTAGCTAAAGATACATTTTCTTTTCTGTCATCAAAAAGATGCTTTCAGGCGAAGCCTTGTCTCTGGATCTCAGGGAGGGATTTACCCCCCTACATTGATCTTGCACACTTTACCTTGACTTACAACCTGTGAGTGCATAATAAGTGCTTATCAAGGTGTTATCAGTTTGTCTTGGATATATTTTTTCCTTATTGACTTATTTTATACTTTTCCTTTATAATGAATGGGTGTCAGATCAAAACTTTCTATAGTTCTGAAATGTTAATCTGCTCTGCTTGCTTTGAACACTGCCTAGAAAAACAAATATAATAATCCCTCTGGCTTTCCTCGCTAGCAGAAAAAGGACATGTTTCTACTTCTGTTCCTTTTGCCTACTATATTAGTTTCCTCTTACTGCCATAAGAAATTACCACAAACTTACTGGCATAAAACAGTACAAATTTATGATCTTACAATTCTGAAGGACAAAAGTCTGAAATGAGTTTCACTAGGCTTAAGTGAATGATGTGGTCTGGCTGTGTCCCCACCAAAATCTCATTTTGAATTGTAGTTCCCATAATCCTTATGCGTTATGGGAGGAACTTGGTGGGAGGTGATTGAATCATGGGGGCAGTTACCCTTATGCTGTTCTTATGACAGAGAGTTCTCACGAGATCTGATAGTTTTATGAGGGGATTTCCCTACCTTCACTCATTCTCCTCCTTCCTGCTGCCATGTGAAGAAGAATTCCTTTGCTTCCTCTTCTGCTGTGATTGCAAGTTTTCTAAGGCCTACCCAGCCCTGTAGAACTATGAGTCAATTGAACTTCTTTCCTTTATACATTACCCAGTCTGCGCTATTTCTTCATAGCAGTGTGAGAATGTAAGACAGTGACGATGTTGGCAGGGCTGTGTTCTCATTGGAGGCTTGACGGGGGATTTCATTTCCTTACCTCTCCCAGATTCTGGAGGCCCCCTGCATTCCTTGGCTTGTGATTGTCTTCTGTCTTCAAATTCAGCAATGTCCAGTCCATTCTTTTTCACATTGCATCACTCTGCCACTGACTCTCTTGCCTACATCTTTCACTTATAAGGACCTTTGTGATTACACTTGATCTACTCAAATAATCCAGGATAACCTCTTTATTTCAAAGTAACCTGACTACTAATTTGAATTCTCTCTGTAACTTGCCATGTAAGAGCATATGAACAAGTTCCAGGGGTTAGGATGCGGACATCTTTGTAGGAGGGGTGTGGCATTAGTTTGTCTGCTACACTTATGTTGACTCAAAGTAAATTACTGCATTCAAAGCATTTCCAATGAATATGTCATCGTAGCTGTGTCTTTGACTAGGAGAGGTACCATGTGTCTGTAGAATTTCAGTGGTCTTCCCATGAGCCTCTATGCAGCTGGTATTTCCATCTGCAACAGGGATTTTTAAATCTGAGGTTTATGGACTTTTGTGGGTTTCACACATATGAAAGTCTTTGGATCTTTTGAAATTCTATGTTAAATATATTGGTAAGTCCATTTTTTCTTTTCAAAGAAGTCATTAGCAAAGATTATATAATTTTTATATATAATTCTACATGTTCCTACATCCAATTGTCATTGTTCCAAAATTATATTTTTGATTCTTTTCCTTCCTTCTCAGAAAATGAGAGTAGTTTGCAACGATTTTGTGCTTACATTGAAACTTACAAGCATTTGATTCAAGATCTTCCACCAGAACCTACTTAGTATTCTAGAAAGTTAACATGGAAAAATTTCTGTTATTTTAGTGGTTTTTCTTTAACTGGACTAAGTACCTTTGGTGACTAAATTATTAGTAAATATTTGAGTCAAGTTTTCCATTTCTACAATTTTGAGCACCAGGCAAAACATAAATATATTCCAGAGCTGAATCAAGAAGAATTAAAGTTTATAGGAAGATTTTATCTTTCCACTTCCACTGCCAATCCTGTTTCTCTTTATTCTATTTGCTATCTGGGGTGCAAAACTTTCTCTAAACTTTTCTAAATGTCTTTTGCTTTTTACATCTAGAATTCTTTTATTTGCATAAATTGATGAGGTACAAGTGTTGTATGTTTGTTATATGCATAGATTGTGTAGTGGTGAAGTGAAAAAAAGATATTATTGGTATGGTTTTGATGTCACAGATAAAATGTGAAGGAAGAAGTAAGTTTGTTGGCTACCAAATTTCTCTCAGAAACACTTTCTTCTCTCAAGTGTCTTATCTTTCTCTCATCTCATTGTCAAGTAAAACTGTGTTTCTTAACTGATAATTAAGACTCTGGCTTTAGCGTGCTTGGATGGTAAAAGGAAGATGGGAATATAGGAGGAAATCTCCACATTTTTCCTCTTCCCTGGTCGTTCTATGAGTTGAAGGCCTGTGAAGCTTTTGTCCTTCACGTCCTTGGTATTCCTCTGCTGAGAAGCTTCTTAAAACCTTTTCATACTACATTGGGCTCTGATAGGGCAAGTAGGTGAATTGTTTGTGAGAATCTGCTATGCTTCCCTCTCCCCAAAGTAGTTGCCATCTATCCCACCTTGAGAGGCAGTGGATGAAGAAGGATTTGGCACGACACCTCTGAAATATTGCCAAGCCTTGCTAAACCCCACTGTCTAGCTACCTAGCACTTTCTCATCCTTCACATCTTAGCTCTTCAGTTTAATTAAGCCTTAGCAGACACCTGCCAGGCCTCCCTTGTAAGGGTAGGTTTTAAAAACTCATGTCCTAAATCAAGAAACTTTTATTAAACACTTACTCTATGCAAGACACAGTGTTATGTGTCATGAAATACTAGGCCATACATCTTACTTTACCTGATACTTGCTCTCATAAAGCTTAAAACATAGTTTTAAAGGTAAAGAAGAAAGAGACAGGGCGAGAGAGAGGAAAGAAGAGACACAGAGAGGGGAAGAGAAAAAGAGGGAGATATAGCCAAGTGGATTGATAGATATAGATATTAAATAATACCAATTAAAGAAATATTACAGGTGATATTTTTGCCAAATGGCTAATTGCCAAATGAGGGCTATGAAGTGACCTGGGTTCATAGACAGGAGATATCATTGTGGATTGGAGGGTGAACTTGAGATGGTTTTGAAAGGTAGCCAGGTAGAGAATAGAGTGGATCTTTTGAATAGACGGAAATAACATGGACTGGAGACTGGAATGATCTGATATAGACCATTTATTACAGCAGAGTTTTTAGCTGTATTTATGCCTTACAAACGTCCATGATTTACTCTTTTTAATTTTTTTTTTTTTTTTTTTTTGAGATGGAGTCTCACTCAGTCATCCAGCCTGGAGTGCAGTGGCATACTCTCAGCTCGCTGCAACCTCAGCCTCCATGTTCAAGCAATTCTCCGACCTCAGCCTCCCAAGTAGCTGGGACTACAGGCACACCCCATCACCCACAGCTAATTTTTGTATTTTTAGTAGAGCTGGGGTTTTACCATGTGGGTCAGTCTGGTCTCAAACTCTGGACCTCAGATGATCCATCCACCTTGGCCTCTCAATGTGCTGAGATTATAGGCATGAGCCACCATGCCTGGCCTATAGCTCCATGCAGTGGT